ACATTTGTAATATACATAAAATAGTCCTCTATATTATCATCTTCTCATTAGGCAAAATAGCTCATCATTAATTAATAAAGAAGATCTATTCTGTCAGAACCTGCAGTGAGTTATAGCAGATTGCAGATTCTGGTATTCATTCTATTTATTGTGGTTGATTCTAATCTACTTGTACCACTTCTTCAGAAACTGATTTGCCCTATAAAAATAGAGGGGTAAACATCACAGCCTCTCTTATAATATGGCCTATGGGATATTTTTTATTTGTTGGTGCTGAGCAATGTGCTGGGTCTCAGAATCACATTCTTCAGAGAAAGGCAGAATGGTCATCATTATTCCTGTTTCATCAGAACCTAGAACATAGGTGATTGAAAGAGAAAATAATATATGTGAGAGAGGCACAGAGAGAGAGAAACTGAGCAGGCACAGGAAATGGGTCTCTGAATTACACACTTGAATGTATTAGAGTAGTGGCATTACTAGGGTTGGTATCATCCAGTGTGGGAACTCATGGGGTCATCCCCCATAAACTTCTTCCTTCCTACTCCTTACTCACCTGCCCCCAACGCTGGATCGCAACTGGCTCTGGCAGCCATGTTGTGATCTTCCATTTCAATTGCACTGCCATACTGGTGGCCAAGGTGCTGGGTGGGAGCAACATTGCACTCGTCTTTTTCTTTTTTTCAACCGACAAAAGAAGAAGGGCCTTGATGGTGGCTGAATGAGAGGGAGAAAACAGATGGCCTCTGGGCACGCAACCTGCCATTCATTGCCCTTCTGGTTGATCGCTTGCGGATGTTTTTATCCCAATTTAGTATTGGTTGCAAATATAGGGAGGCCTGGAACCATGAAAATTTCATTTCTATCGACAGTCATTTTGGTGTCAACCCCTCTAATGGTGTCACCCAGTGTAGTGTGCACCCCCCCAGCGATGCCACTGTTTAAAAGATATACCTGGAAGCTCTTCTAATATTTAATTGTTTTTAGTGCTTTTATCTTTTTTAATTGTATTCTATTTTTAAACTATTTTAAACAAATCTCACATTGTAATAGTTTAATTCCATTTTAATTGTCACTTTTGTAGTACTAAAAACATTGTACTATGTTTTTAGACTGTAAGCTGCTTTGAAACCCAATTTTTTGGGGGAAGTGCACTACTAGTACTACTACTACGACTACTACGACTAATAATAATGTTAAAGCTCAGATTGCATAACATCACTGGAACACATGCAGACCAGGGGGGTTGCAGACTGCCAGAAATAGTGCAAATTGAGTCCACTTTTAGGGTTAGGGTTAGTGCTAGGGAATCATGGGAATTGTTTTCCCCCCCTGAGACATTGAGCCTTCTATGTCAGAGGGCTCTGGTGCCACAAAAAATACAGTTCCCATGATTCCCTAACCCTAACCCTAAAAGTGGACTCAATTTGCACTATTTCTGGCAGTCTGCAACCCCCCATATTTTTGACTGGAGAAGAGTTGTAAACTTGAACATTGGGCTTAACCTCCCCATGGAAAGCCAGCCCTACTGGCTTGGGCATCTTGCTGAGATCATTTCCTTTTGTGAGTCTGAAATATTATATATACCTACTATGATATATTACATATACCTACTATACCTACTATTTAATCCATATTCTATTTAATTCCATATAGCTACCTGATATATTCCGTATACCTACTATTTAACCATTTTGGCTTCTAAGGAGATCTCTGGCTTTCAATTTTTTTTTTCTTTTGATTTTATCTGCATATTCATGATTTTCCACCCAAACTCTTTCTTGAACTATCCCAAATTTTTGTCACTCCTTGGTCCCTTGTGTTCTTCCTCTTCTCCTTACTACTGGTCATAGATAACATAGATAATATGCAGGCAATGTTTCAGAAATTGACCTTGACCAATTTTCACCAAGTATTTTTCAGTTATTATTCAGGAGTTGTAGTCAAAGTGTTAACAAGCATTATCAGCATTAAACTACTAAAGCATTCAAACCATTTTCTTTTATTGCTAGCATTCCTCTTTCCCTCACTTGTTCTCTGTTGAATCTGGGTGCTGAAAATAATTGCTTTGGCAGTGGCAATCTTAGCTAGTCTGGGAATATCACAAACAGGCTGCATCTGCATGGCAGAAATAATCCGTTTTGATACCACTTTAACTGCCATCACTCAAAGCTGTGGAATTCTGGGAGTTGTAGTTTTGTGAGACATTTAGCCTTCTCTCTCAGAGAGCTCTGGTGCCACAAAAATTACAGTTCCCAGAATTTCATAGCATTGAGCCAGGGCAGTTAAAGTGGTGTCAAACTGGATCATTTCTGCCATGCAGATGCAGCCATAGGCATCTATGGAGAGCTACATTTTATTTTGGGAAACAATTGGTTAATTTAAACTAACCTAGGGAGTGGGAATGAAAATTCCTTGGTAAGCCTGGGAGTTCCTTAGTAATACTTTGGGATGAGGAAAATGACATGTAGATCTCCAAAATAACATTGGTTTCTAGAGAAACAAAACCTGGGACTTTCATGGTTTTTTTTCCTTCTCTACAGAGGCTTTTAATTAGATTATCTTTTTTTTGCTGCTTTTATTGCTGATGTATTTTGCATTTATTTTTATGAGAGTATTTATTTTTATTGTTGTTATATCTTAATCCTGTATCAACCACCTCTGATTTTTTTTAAAAAAGTGTGGCATAAACAGTTAAAATGAATTAACAAAGAGACAAGAAAGTCTGCTCTTACTTGTTTACATACATATATATTACATAATATTCTTGACATGTGCATTTAATATATGCAGATATGCATATATTGTACATTTAAAATATAGTTAGAAATGAACAATCAAAAGACTAAAATTATGGCATTCTCTGCCCACCCCCCCATACACACTTTCTGTACAGAAGGGAAGATCCCTATTTTATTAAGTTAATCACTGACATATACATCTAAGCATGTAAATTTTAGGCAGCAAGCCTAAGGAAACTTTAGATAAATTCAGCTGAAATCGATAGCACTTGTGTCTGATAATGTGTTTAGGTCTGTGGGGGTAGCGTGAAAAGTAATTAACCTCAAGCATTTAAATAGGTTAGCAACTTCTCAGATATAATTCCAATTTTATTGAAGTCAATGGGAGTGCTCCTCAGACCTTTCCCGAATTGGCATGTATGCTAGAAGGATATAGCAGGAGAATTTCTACAATTGAGTATATGTCTCCTGGAGACAGACTGTGAGATTATTATCTGCACTGATGTAATTAAGCAAGGAAATCTGAAGCATAACAGATAATTGTG